GTGTTGAGCAGATATAGAGATAAGAACGATGTAATAAAACCTCTTGAAGTGCTTCATCTTCATCTTCATCAGTATTTTCGTCTTTAATACTATCTTTTGGAGGTGATGGATTGCGATTAGCAATCTCTACCGATTCACTTGGCTCGATCTTAACTCCGCCACCATTTAAATTCGTTTCACTTCTCATTCGTTCCAACATAACTGGCCACGAGATTGACTCTTTGATTTGTTGCGCTTTTTCGGTTTGCTCCTCATCAATCTATCAGAAACTTCTGATGAACACGTCAAAAACTTTCGCGAAACTCACCTATATTCCAATGAAATTATTCGCTGAACGGAAGTGAATTAATTGAATTCGAAATTTCAATTCGGAAATGTAGATGAAATGAATTTTTGGTGAAGATTTCCGATAATTGAAAACTATAAAATGCGATCTAGAATGCTCACCATCACGTCCGCATCAACGTCTCGCGTCAAGAAATGTCCCCTTGTAAGACCTTCCATCACTGATAAAAGTACCGTATTCTGTGAATTTGCACCGTCTTTTGATTTCGTTTCCGAGTTGAACATATCTCCGAGTGCCTCTTTTTTCAACTGCAACCCAAAACACCTTTATTTCCAATCTTATTATACATTATTGTTACCAGAAACTTTCATTAAATGGAAACTGAAAATTGCATAGGAATACTGCAATGTTTGGAATTATGAGAAAACAGCAATGTTACGCACCATATCAAGTTGCTCATTGATCCGATTCCGTTTCAGAAGACGTTTCAATTGAAAGTTACAAAATTCACGCGAATCCTCTGGAACCTTAAATTTTTTTGCGTTGATTATTCGCGTTCCACTTCAACTAGCTCCCAAGCTTACAATACAAAATCCAAAACCAAAACGGTCAAAGAGTAAACCTGATCTTCGGTAACTCGACCACGACGTTCACGTTCACGCAAGGTCAACAGGTAATCAAGACGCTGATCAGGCGTAATCAACGATTTCATCGATGCATCATCGAGATCATCATATTTTACATCCTCCGATTTCGAGCAAGTCGGTTGTGAAGAATACACAAACTGCACATCATCCGAATCGCTTTGTGCCTCATGTTTTCTGAATGCAAGAGAATCTTTCAAAATTTTCATTCGTAATAACTCCCGATGAAGCAAACTTATTCAGTATATGATAGTCTTGTAGTATATCAGTCTTCAGTTTATCTAGTTTCAAGATTTGAGTTAATACGACCAGAATTTGAAGCAGAGGCGAAATTCCAATTGTAAGATAAATCCTGGCTTAAATATACAGTTTGATGATTGGTTACGTTTGTGTTTAAGATATAATATAGCGCATGAATGATGCAATTTTTTGATGGATTCGAAAGATCAGTAAATAACCCTCGAACAAAACTCCTACAGTTTCAAGGTGTTCTGTTGGGATTTTGCGTTATCCAACTGGATTTTCTCCATCAGCTTATCCTCTTCAGTTTTGCGTTTCGATGACGACGCAGACGATGAACTGAATGCGTTTATCCATTTATCTTGCGAATGCTCGCTATCAACTGCAATATAGCCATTGTATCCCTACCAATGTTATAATTCACTCCGAAACTTTCCGAACAGGTGAAGTTCATTCAAGAAAATTCGTTATATACATATGAGATTTGAACCAGTGCCTTATTCCATTCATCTCGTTGAATGAGCACAAGTGATCTGGAGATAGAAAACTCGTTTGTTCTAATTGTAATCATAGCTTTAGAAAGTAGGTAAATTATAGACTGATAAATAAATAATCAATCTATTCATGGATGAATTCAGAAATCATATGGAACACGGTTTGGCAAATGTGTGAATGAATGAATAATCATATTCCAATAATTAATCAAATCTCACAAATTCAACGAATCTCACAATATTACCTTCATTCGAGAGTGCCATTTCAGTTAGAACTCGTTTCTGTGCTTTTGATATCTTCATATCATCCATATAACGTTTCATTTCACGTTCACGCTGAAGAATTTATTCAAAATGCAGACAGTAATAACTGCCATTGTAGAACATTTCTAATGGGTAGTATTTAGCATATGATATTGATGTACTGTACCAGTTTTCAGTTTAATCAGTTTTGAAGACAGAGTTAATAAGATAGGCCGTTTTATGCGGTCCATTAGAAAAACGACTGTGCTTGTAGATCAGTTGGAGTGCGAGGTAGCTGGGAAACGAAACAATACACTTACCAGTATCTTGCGTTTGAACTGCGGTACATTCGGTCCATCAAAAACGAAAACAGGCTTAATTTTGTAGAAGAGCAGTTTTGATAGACGATTTATAATTAGAGCCAAGTGCGGCGATTTGATATCCTGTTGATGGGCCGCATAACCGTGTAGGGCTTGATACAACCATATCGATATATCTGTCATTCATTTAACATCATCAACACATTCGATCACCAACAACATCCAATGAGAACATGAGGGAGTATTTTGTAGGATCAAAAATTTTCAGGATGCTTCAACTGTCATCAATAATTCGGAATCTCTTTGGAAGGATTTGGACACATGGTGTCCTTAATATCGATGCTATGAACCTCATCCGATAATGATAGCCTGTTCGGAAACCCTAAATTACATTCGTATTTCCTCCTTGCTAGTGGGGTGAAAATGCAATGCTATTATGATAGACTGATTATAAATTTTGACAAGCCAGAATCGCTCGCTGAATAAGAGTTGTTCAGTAAAGAAGGATTCTCCTTCTTCAACATCAAGGCTCTTATCACAAAGACGAGCGATTCACGTCATATCAGTTCAGCCTAGTATATGTGCTCAATTGCTGATCAAACAGGAGAATATGCTAAAAAATGATGAAATTTTATAAGAATGATTTGAAAATTCATGGAATTCACAATTACCGATTGCAAACCGTTTCCCTTCCAACGACTCGAGTGTAACCGGTTCAGCAGTTGGTTCTAGAACAGGCCAAAGTCCTTGAATACCCATCCTTCTGTCATTACCCAATCAAATTCCAGCTCTATCAGTCCTTCAAAAATTTCGAACAATGAGATGAGAAATATTCATCTTCTTTAGACCTCGTGCGCTCATATGAGAAACTACACTATCATCTGGATTCAAGTACAACGATAACTTATTCCTGTTAGCAAATTGCGAAAGTACTGAAAACTATATCGCTAGTCCCCATTCAAATCTTAAATTCTCCTCATAATCCCCAGTTTCCTTGGATAACTCTATTGATCTGTCTTTACAGCACACTCCATTGCTGTCACAATACTGCTCAACAATGAATATTATCTTGAACTCAGAATCCGCATTTTAATTCTCCACTCCCAACCAATATCTCGAAGTATCAAACCGTAACTGAACCATATCAACCTC